GGCCCCCTGCAGCGTCCAGGTGAACAGGGCCAGCTGACGTCTGAATCGACCCTCATCAAAGCGCCCGGGGTCAGAGGTCAGCAGGGTCAGATGCTCCGTCAGCGCGCTCAGAGTGTGGTTACCACGCCCATGGATCACATGGCGGAACGGCGTCTCCATGGCGGACACGTACTGGGACAGGAAGTAGTACTCCACCTGGAGACAGACAGGGAGGCAGGAGCATCTGGATGAACATCTGTCCACATGCAGGATCCAGAGTTAAGGTCTCACAGAGACCACCTTAACCCCTGCCCTCTGGTGAATAATCTCTGGGATGTTAGATGCTATCTGGTCCATTTATCTAAACCGATGGACCTTCACCTCAGACTGTCAGTCCAAGAACGTTCTAAGGAAAGTTCTGGGTTTCCACCTCTTCTTCTCTCTCTGGTTCTTTAGCTGAGAAGAAATCACTTTAAATAACATCTCATTATGTATTAAATAACCAGGAGACATGAATACAGATTAAGATAGAATCTTATAATCTTAGTCAGATCAAAGAAGTTGCTTAGAGTTACAGAAGGCAGCTGCTCACCAACCTCTGGATGAGCAGCAGCAGCAGCTGAGGTTGGTCCATCAGTGATGCTGATGAATCAGGGAATATTGGGGTGTGGAGTGAAATTATACTCCAGGGTTGGGGGATATTGCTATGGGAGGGGGGGTGTCCCAACGATGGACGCTCTCTGAGTCACCTGGTGCTTTAAGGGAAGTGTCAGTTTTAGTGTTTGATGTAAAAACAGTAACTTATCAGGGGGAATTGTTGGGTTTATTCTTTATTAATCCTGAGTATAATCTGTTAACCAGGTTAGATGGGGTGAATCCTTCCTTCACCTGGTGGGTCACATCGTGGATCTCTATCTAATGAGGTCAGTCTTTTTGTCTTTACAGTAATCACAGAATAATGATACATCCTGCAGTCTGACTGATAAAGGAGAGCTATCTGTAATCCTGAGGCGTAGAGGTCAGAGGTCAGGGCATGGATGGTTGCTGACAGGAACAGCAAAGCATCAACCTGATGCAACACAGAGACTCATGAGGTATTAGAAGCAGGAAATGACCTTCAGGGCTAATTTCCTGGTTGCCATGGCGTACTGATGACCTGAACCTACAGCTGCGCCGACTCCAAGCAGTTTCTCTGTCCTTTAATGATCTGATCTGGATTAAACTCTGTTAATCTTTACTCCTGTTTTTAGATCTTTTATAGAGATTTACCAAGTTATGAGTTAAGAGACGTTAAACCAAGGAGCTTCCTCCCAGGAAAAGAACCAGAAGCTCAGAGGAGTAACCACCTTCTGGGGGACATAAAGTCCTCTTTAACATATTGATGTTTCCGCCTGAGGTCAACCTTCAGGCTGATGAAGGTAGGATGGATCCCATCCTCTTCCTCAGTGACGCCTTCAGAGTTTGATTGAATGAACTTCCTGAAACTCCTCCTCCTACCAGAGGACCTTCCTCTCTGGGGGAGCAGATCTCCATCCTTCTGCTTCATGACAGCTGCTTCCTCTAACTGGTATAAACTGGTATCCAGTTTAATGATGACATCACTGCTGATGTTTTCTCCTACTTTCTAACCTTAATGGTTTCCAGTGGAATAAACTGTCCTCATGCTGCCATAATGCTGCTGCAGTGGCACCATCCAGGTAATGACCTCATAGATATAAATCTATAATAGATGTTGAGGCCAGCGCTCATACCTTCATGATGCGCGTGTTGTAGAGCCGCGCCGTGGTGGGGTCATGCAGGTCGCTGTTGTCGATGGCTCTCTGCAGCGTCTCTGCGGCTCTGCTGTAATCTCCTCTAGCGCTGAACAGCCACTGAGGAGAAACACCTCTGGCCTGGAGACACATGGAGGACAGAGGAGACATTCACTGAGACATCACTCCTGTCCTCCTGGAGAACATCAGGACGTACCTGCAGCTCAGCAGAGTGCTTGTTGAGGTGAGCGCTGAACTGCAGCACCGTCTGAGCGTAGGAAGTGATACGTAGAGGCAGGATGTGGTCATGGACCAACCGCAGGACCATTTCCCCCACCAGTTCACCCAGCTTTCTCCCAGTGACCCCCAGCCGGCCCCCCAGGACCTCCTGAAGGCGTGGGACGGTGTCCAACGGTGTGTTGAGGAAAGGATACGCTCGCTCCTGAGGAAGCAATGATGATGATGATGAAATCATCTAACAGGAAGTGAAACTGATTGAAACTGACTGACGTGTGAAGACCTGCAGAAGGTCTGTCTCATCAGAGTCCAAGACTTAAATCATGTCCCCTGTCCTCCAGCCGTATGTCCTCAGCTGAGTGTAGTCCTGCTGTCTCTATGGAGGCAGCTTGTTTTCACCATGATAGTGATCAGAACATTTCTCTCTGAACTGTAACTAAGGTCTGGACGTACAGAGGACTGAACATTCAGGACGTTTC